AGACTACGATGATTCTTAATTGAAGAAATTACCGGCCGGCAGGAACATTTCACTCCTGAGAGATAACGACTAACATTGCTGCAATAGTAAATTTAATAAATGATGAGAAGTAGAAGAAGCGGCAGCAGTTCATACTTGCTTTTGTAGTGAGTGATGAACAATTGAACAGTAATAAATATTTAGTAGGTACAAATTTTTTTTTTTTTGTATTCCTCAGATTTTCTACCCTATTTATTATTCTTATTTGTAATTTAAAACCGTTTCAATAAACTATTTTAATTTACTTTTACCCTTAAAAAAATATATATTTTCCTTTTCTTGCTCTTATTTTAAAGGGAAAATAATCTTTAAGGCAAACCTTTTGTTAGAACAGTCTATGGGCTAGACCACGTCGGACAACGCATGGCTTAGTACGTCAAGCCTAATAAGCCTGATTTTTAAAATTAAAAAAAAAAAAATACTTTTTAACTATTTTAGAGTTAAAATTAAATAAAAATATTTATTAAATTTTAACTAAATGAATTTTAAGTTCATAACTTGATTCGAATGATGGATATAAACAAAATTAGGCAGCTAAAAGCCTAAAATTACTGAAACGTATTCAACCACCATGGCCTAATTTTTGGATGTCTAATTTGCTAGCCTTCCTTGATTCAAAACTTTCGGAAAAAAAGTACTGAAGCTAAATGAATGCCTTAATGGCATAACATGTGAAGATTATTGGAAAATCATCTATTATGATTTGCATAATTAACTTGAAAAACATTAAAAAAGTTTGATTCACGGATTTTTAGATTTTCAAGAAAGAAAGTCATTTTGGAAAAAATGATATTGAAGAATAATTTGTGATTTTTGGATTTTGTTGATTTTAGAGAGTATCGTAAAATAATTGTGTTTAATTAGAAGAATATAAAATTATCTAATAAAATCTTTTAATATATTTTTTTGATGACATATAAACAACACATATAAGTCATAGCACATGAATAGCAAGTGATTTATTTAAATTTTTATGTAAATTGTTTATTTTATATTTTTGTTAAATTATTTAAGTAAAAATATTTTAAGTTTTATTACACATATAATATATGTAATAATAATAATTTTTTCATAATGATTTTCTCAACAAAGATCACATTTTTAATATTAAAAATGTTATTTAAAAAAATAATATTTTTTATATTTTCAACAAAACATTTAAAAACATCATTTTGTTAAAATTTGAAACATTAAAAATTTCATAATTTTTTATATTTTCAACAAAGACAACAATTTTGTCTTAAAAACATTGTCTTTGTTGAATTCTAAAAATAATTTTTTTCAAAATATATTTTTAACAAATATCATGTTTTTAATCTTAAAAGCATCATTTTTGCCCAAATTATAAAAACAAAATACTAAAATTTTTAGGCAAATAATGTTATTTATGTAGTGTGAAAATGCAATTAAGTAAGGTTAAAATTAAAAAAAAAAAATCACTTTTCAGTCGGAATCTAAGAAAAACTTAAGGAAATGACAATTTTTTATTTTCCGTACTTTCTCTCTTTGAATATTGTTGGAATTGTAAAATTCCTGATGTGAAAAAAATTTTTGAATCAAATAAAAAATTCAATTAAGAAAATTTTGTGTACCAAACGCGGCCTATTACTTAAAAAATATCTCTTATATTTCAAAAAGTTCCAAAAACAATTTGACCCAAATTCGTTGAATGGGAAATTTAAAGACTTGATCCATTTGATAAGAAGTTTTAGGACTTATTAATTAAGTCAATTAGTTAAATTGACTATTTTCAAGACACTACATGCATTCATTCGATTTTTTTTTTTCTTAATGAATATTTATTTGAAGGTTTTGGTTGGTGAGACAATTTGGAATTCACTAATTTTATTTATTGTATTTCCCAATATTTATTTGAAGGTTGATACCCATGTGTGTATAAAAACATAAATTTGTGAACAACAATTATTCGACGTTTGACACTTTGCTTCGAACATTTAATTCAATTAAATGATGTATGATCTCTATTTAAAGGAATATTTACTCGACACCTATTATTCAAGTGGGCATATGTCGGTAGTGGTATTAAATATTTAGCCATACTTTTTCTTCATAAAATTAAAATCCCAGCTTTCAAGCATATATACATCAATAAAGATGGCGATATTTAGTAATTAATAGACATCATCTGTATACATGGCAGCATGCTGAATCCAAAAGAGATTCAACCGGTGACATTTTTATTTCTGTACGTAATTTCTTTGGAAACTTTAATACCAAGAGGTTTGGTAAGTAAGGCAGAAATTAATTATACATATGCTTTGAGAAAATTAAAGCAAATAGAGAACGAAACATGTGCTTTTTGGGATAACAAGTTCGGTGGAAGTGTTTTAAGTTAATTTTTTTTATAGAATTACATATATAAAAACATTATAATTACCGTCAAATATTTTTTATATGACATCTAATATAACAAATTAATGAAATAGATCCACCAACAAATTAGTTTATCAGCAAATTTAACATAAATTTTGGTTAAATTTGAATATAATAAAATTTGTGAACTAAAAAATTTGAAAACCTGTTTTTTGCAATTGAAACAAAATCGCATTGGTTTTCAGCTATAGGTTGACATGAATGCTTTTTGTGTTGGGAGAAAGTCATGAATGCTCTTCAAGGTGGAATTTATAAGGTAGACTGTGTTTATAGGCAGGCTTGATGAAAAGACTCGACCCAAGCCTTATAATTTGGAAAGAGCAATATGTTCATGAAAATTTTAATGGAATGCAAAAGCAAAGTCAATATAAGCATTCAAAAAAAAAAATTTTGTTATCAAATTGCAAATTCAATTTTGAAGATTAAGTACTAAATGATGTGGAAATAAGCAAAAATATTTAAATATTTAAATTACTTATGAGGTGAAAGAAAACCTTGAAATTAAGAAACTATGCCAAATCTTATGTGCAAAACATGATAGATTATGAAAAGTCCACATTTATTTTGGTTTAATAACTGTTATTTTAAAGGGTTTTTTTTTTTTTTTGCATATGTTCACATGTGGCTCACCCAAAACCCCAAAATGGTTAGTTTTAATACTAAGGTATTGATTAGAAGTAACATATAAGTTTAAATAAAATTATATCTTTTATTTAATAAAACAATAATTTGGATTTTGTTTGGGCTTAAAAATTTTATTACAAGTTAATTTAAATTTTGATTTTAGCGAGTAGCGTGACCCTTCCAAGTCTTTAGGTAGATTTTTAATATTTCTTCACCCAATGTCTTGTTGTCTGACGTTGCTTCCCTAATTCTTCTTTAAGCTTGTATCTTCCTTTTTTTATGCTTGGATGTATATGCATACTGATTAATCATTCGTTCCGGTTGCACATGAAGGGGCATGTTAGAAACTTAAATATAATATTATCGGTCCAACTTAGATATAATATTTGATCTCGTCCTATCAGCTTAAGTTTTTGGAATAATCAGTTATTCAACTTTAACATTGTCTATGGGCAAAACCATTTGCCAAGTCCACAGGTTGAGCCTTAAACTGAAATTTTTAAGTCTAAGTCAGATCTGGATTATAATTTTATTAATAAAAATTATTTTTAGTTCAATTTAATTTTAAATATAATAATATTGAAATATATTTTTATATTATTTTAAATAATAAACAAGCTTAATTCGAATTTAATGGGAAAGTCTAAGTTAGACCTTAAACAAAGTCCTAAAAGTATCAATCTAACCTAACCCTGCCTGACTCGGTTTAACCATGAACACCGTTATCTCTAGGTACAATACAACTCCCTTTTTTTTTTTTTTTTTTATCGATTATGCATTTTCTTCTCAAAAAGTTAATTATAAAAATCAAACAAGACATTTTCTTCTCAACCAGACCATGCCAAGACTGGCGCCAGCTCTTCACGGCCCATTTTAAACCTCTAAAATTTCTCTCATAAAAATAAAATCTCGCTCTGGATGCTTAAAATTTTGCTCTCTAAAGTCAAATTCCTTTGCTTGAAAAGGCTCAAGTTGTTAAGCACATTCCAGCTCAAGGCCTCTCGACCTTGTGCTGGACTGCTGAGTTTTGGCGAGTTGGGTGAGAAGCTTAGTCAAGAAAAAGACATTCAAGATAAATTCCACACAACTCATGTCCCCACCACCACTTACCATCATCTTCGACTTTAGGCAAATTGCCATTGCCTCCTTAAATATTTAGTAAACGGTCAATGTTAGGCATATAAGATTATAAGATAATAGAATTAAATTAAATTGAATAATATCATCTTATTTTATGTATGATATATATAAAAATTAAGATAAAATAATTTATTTATTGATCAAAATAATCTTTTTTCAAAGTTTATATAACTTAAATTATTAGTATAATTTTTAAAAGTATAATAAGATATATAAATTTAATCACATAAATTAAAAATAATTATTTTCACTTTGAGAGTATTGAATCATTTTATATTAAGAAGATAATTAATTTTTTTTGTAATCCTATCTTTTTTATAATCCTATCTTTTTTTTTAAATACAAATCAAATAAAATATAAGATAATTATTATCTATCGTATCTATTATTTTATACACCAAATATAACTTTCTTTAAATATTAAATAAACTTCTTAGATAACTTTTGAATAAACTTAATTTTCAAAGAATGTATTTCTCAAAATTAATTTAATTCAATAAAATATTTGATAACTAATTAAGGTCAAAATTGAAATAATTGAACCTAAAAAAATCATACCATACAATATTAATGAGACAAAAAAGAATACTATATTTGTAGAATTTTTAAAATTATTTGCTCTCATTAAGTATATTTATAAAAATTATTAAATTATTAATTAATTATTAAAGAACATGTAATAATTCTTTAATATTATTTGTGAAGTCTTATATTGTTTGTTACTATTTTTTTTTTGGTCTCTTATACTTTTCTTTCAAGGATTATTTATATATATTCTACCATATACTACAAGTTACATTTTGATCCCATATAGCTTAGCTTGTTAGATAATAGATCAAAAACAAGAAAAACGAAATGGCAACAACTATTAACGTCGAAAACATATACGACAGAGCCCAAGAAGTAAAACGATTCGACGAATCAAAAATCGGAGTGAAAGGGTTAGTCGATTCAGGCCTCACCGCTATCCCTCGCTTCTTCATCCACCCACCCGAAACTCTTTCCGACCTTAAACCCAAACGCAAACCCGAGTCCGTTGTCATCCCAACCATCGACCTCTCGGGGCCTCGGTCAGTGGTCGTGGAGCAAGTTGCCTGTGCATCTCGATCCTTTGGCTTCTTCCAGATTGTAAACCATGGAATTCCTGTGGAAGTTCTGGACCGTACGATTGGTTCCGTTAAAGCTTTCCATGAGCATCCAACGGACGTCAAGGCAAGGTTCTATCGTAGGGACACCGGAACCGGTGTATCCTTCTTTTCCAACATTGACTTGTTTCACTCTAAAGCCGCAAGCTGGAGGTACTTATGAAATAATAATAATAATAATAATAGTAAATATATGATTATTACTTGTTGTTAATTTTACTACTTATATGTAGCGTCTAACTTTAACCATGTTTGTAAGTGTTGTCCTTATATCCTTGTTGTAAAGGTGACAAGTAAACGAAAAGATTGAGTTTTCGGGTTATTAACTGTTCTTGATTTTTCAGGAAAATTTGTAAAGACGACAATTTAACTTGATTTCTGGTGGAGTAGTAATTAACATTTCGAGTTAATTAATTTACGCCTAATTTTTATAATTAAAACCATAAAAAATTAACTCTTAGATCACTAAAATTAAAAATCCAATCGACTGCTATTGTTTCTAAATCGTAGTTTTGGGTGAAACAACAGAGACACACTCCAGATAAAACTAGGACCAACTCTAGCAGAAGTTAGTGAGATTCCCGAGGTTTGTAGAAATGCAGCGGTTGAATGGAACACGGAGACAAAAGCGTTGGGAGAGCGTCTAATGGGATTGTTGTCTGAAGGGCTTGGATTGGATACGGACAGGATCAAGAACACTACTTGTTTGGAGGCAAGAGTTATGGTCGGCCACTACTATCCATGCTGTCCCCAGCCCGATCTGACGATAGGGGTTGCATCTCATACGGATCCAGGAGCCCTGACAGTGTTGCTGCAGGATCACATTGGTGGGCTGCAGATTAAGCATGAAGGGGAATGGGTGGATGTCAAACCTGTTCCTGGAGCTCTTGTTATAAATGTTGCAGATGTTCTTCGGGTAAAGTTTTTCATTCTTATTATTATTGCCATTTTTTTAAAAATTTTTGAATACTATTCTTGGAAGTTTGGAGTATGGAAGACTGAAGTCTAGGCGGAAAATTCGAGCTTGTAAGGAAGTACATCCCGATGTCTTGGTAATTGCTGCATATATTTGCTGCATTTTTCAGATTATGTCCAATGACGAGTACAAAAGTGTGGAGCACAGAGTGTTGGCCAATCCTTCCCATGAACCTCGAATATCAATTGCTGTTTTCTTCAATGCAAGTGCTAGGGAGGACTTATATGGACCATTTCCAGAGCTTACTTCACCAGAGAAACCAGCCCTCTACCGGCAATTCACATACAATGACTACCTGAGAAGGTTCTTCACCAAGGCATTGGAGGACAAAACTGTGACAAATTACTATAAGCTGTGAAAGATAAATCAAAACCACGTTCTTCAAGTCAGCTATAATAAGAAAGATCAGCATCGATGCTGTCAATGGAGGAGAAAATCATAAACTAGGTAAAAAGGTTTAGAAAACACTTCTCCCAATACAAAGAGTGTTGTTGTTGAATATATTTATAATAAATATATATGTACACTAAGAAAAGAAGAAATGAAAAACAATTAGTGGAGTTGACCTAAGACTACAGCTAAGATTGTGCCCACAGATAAATCAATATTACAGAAAATTATATAGTTGATTTGTTTTAATTTATTGCTCAGATAAATCAATATTACAGAAAATGTTGCATGCAGCATTTGAAAGTGATTGCGGCGAAGAGCTTTCGTGAATATATAGCCCAATTGATGCGAAGAATGCACATAACAAGTAACCAAAGGCCTTGAGCCACTTTTTTACGAACAAAATGATAATCAATTTCAATGCGTTTCATTCATGCATTAAACACTGGATTATAAGACATAAAGCATTGTATTGTCATAATATAAAATATATGGCTAAGACAAGGGAACACCAAGATCACGCATGAGAGAGGAAAGCCAAGTGAATTTTGCAGCCGTTGAAGCAATGACCTTGTACTCAACCTTTGCACTGGATCTTGCAACAATTTGTTGTTTCTTAGCTACCCAAGATATCAAATTTAAACCAAGAAAAACTGCATAGCCGATGATAGATCAACAAGTCAATGAACAACTTGCCCAATTAGCATCAGAAAAATCATACAAATCCAAACTAGACTCGTTAAGCAAGTGTAAGCTATGGTCTAAAGTCCCGACATATCTCAGTCTTCTTTCTACAAGCTGAAAGTGTCCAACAATTGGTGAATGCATAACTTGACAAACTATATTGACTGCAAGCATAACTCATCTCTTGTAATGGTCACATATTGCACTGCACCAACCAGGCTACGAAAAAACGAAAGATTTGAAAATGGTTCTATATGTGATAAAACTGAAAACTTGTTGATAATTGGAGTGGCTAAAGGTTTGCAATCAATTCAGCACGCTGGAGAAGTTCATGAGCATATTTTTGTTGAGATAAAAACATCCTATGAGAAGTGTAAGACACTTCAATGCCAAGAAAGTAGTTGAGGTTTCCCAAATCCTTCATGGAAAATTCTATACTGAGTTCAAAGATGAAATTATTAAGCAGATCAGAATTGCTTCCTGTTAAGATAATATAATCCATATATAACGGTTGGAATATAGTGCCTTTTAATTTCATGATGGAGAGTAAAGAGAGTTTTATTACTATGGCTATTATAAAACCAAACTGAAGTAGATAATGACTAGACCTTTCAAACCTTGCGCTAGGGGCTTACTTAAAACCATACAATGCTTTATTAAGTTTACATACATACTCTAGATGCTTAGAGTCTTGAAAACCAAGGGTTGCTCCATGTAGATAGGTTCTTTCAAAAAGACCTTGAAAAAAATGTATTTTAGACATCAAGCTACTAGATAGACCAACATTTAGCGAGTGCAATAATAAGAACAACGCGAACTGTTTCAGGTCTAATAACTTGACTGGATGTATGTAAGAATAATGCGAATTGTTTAAGGTCTAATAACTTGACTGAATGCATCTTTATAATTAATGCCATTTTGTTGGTTGAAACGTTTGGCAACCAACCTAACTTGAGTCTTTCCAAGCTGCCATCTGACTTCAATTTGGTTTTATAAACCCATTTGGGTCCAATAATATTCATTGAAGATTGTCGAGGAACAAGAGTCAAAGTATGATTCTTGAAGAGGGCTTGTAGTTATTTTTGCATTGCCTTGTACGACCCTGAATGAGCAAAAGCAATCTTCAAAGTTGTCAGTTCTTAAGGTATATCACATGATTGATCAGAATTAATATGTAAAAGGCCTACCTTTAAGGTACCTCTAGTTGTCATAGGATGTGTGTTGAGCTATAAATGACGTCCTAGATCAAGAGAAAAAAATTGTTTGTCATTTGATCTTGTTACATGAGAGGATGGATGTGGAAGTGAGTCATTCTCATTTTTTAATTTTCAGCTTCAATTTGCATAGCCTATTCTCGTGATGTGGCTACTGAAGTGTTGCGACTGTCATGAAAGTTCCCAACAAAAGGTGCAGGAGACATAGATGACGAAAATTCCAGCATGTTCTGATATTCAGGATATCAATAAAGTTCATCCATATGTTAGGATTACTGAGCTCCACTTTAGTTCGACGATCAATGCTAGAATCTGCCATGTAAGAAAATTCATTTTCATAAAAAACAACATGTCTTAAAATATAAATACGGCTAGTGGGAAAAAGAAGATATCTATATCCTTTATGGTTTTGGTTGTAACTAATAAAAATATAAAGAAAGAATAAACATTTAATTTTACCAGGGCCGTATTTGATTTCGATTTTGGATTGAACATGTCAATTTGAATAATTCAACATTTGGATTTGATCGGGCATATTTTGATCTTGTATTAAATATTTGGAATTAAATATTTGGAATTGCATTATACGAGCCGAAGCTCGATTAATCAAATTTTAAGTCAATTAGGCTTAGGTCCAATAAAAACCTAAGTTAATTGTTTTAACCTAGATCCAATTATGGAACTTGAACTTCAATTTTAAGCCCATTCTAAATCAATTTTGGGTTAATCTTACATGAATTTGAAAGAAATTTGAAGTCCAAATTTTAATTTTAATTTTAAGGTTTGAATTATTAATTGAAAAATTACAAAAAGTTTTATTTACAAAAAAAAAAGACTTCCTTAGCAAAGCTTTTCATCTTCACTTTCTCTTCAAACTAACACCAGCACTGTACATTTTCGCTATTAACCTTTTTTTTAATTTTAATTTGAAAGAAATTTAAGTCCAAAATTTAATTTTAATTTTAAGGCTCAAATTATTAATTGAAAAATTATACAAAAATTTATTTACAAAAAAAAAAAAAAGGGACTTCCTTGCTAAGGCTTTCATCCTCACTTTCTCTTCAAACTAACACTAGCACTGCACATTTTCACTATGGACCTTTTTTTTTACCTCATCTTGTTTCCATTTACTTCCAATATAATTTGATCAAAATTTTCTACTTTTTCTTCCCCTGAAATGCAACATTGCAAAACCCAAAATACAGTAACTACTATTACAGAAAAAGAAAAAAAGGCCATCTAAAACAGGAAAGGCTCAACAACCAGAAAGAGGAGAGTACCATTTTTTTCATAGAGACCATCCTTAAACCTCAACACAGAAGCTTCAAACCACTTTGTTGTTTAACCACCATCAAGCGACTAATGGCCACTAGGGGTGTAATCAAGTTGAGTTGAGTCGAGATGATATAATGAGAAGCTCGAACTCGAGCTCAAGCTTGACTCCCAATTGGTAGCTCGATACTTGGCTCGAACTTAATCAAGTTTCATTTTCTTAGCTCAAGCTCGATTCGTAATCGAAATCGAGTTACTCGATCTCACTTGATTAAGCTCGATTCTTATACTCAACAAGAATCGAGTATTTGTGCGTGAGCTTAAGAGCTCAGCTCGAGTTCGATATCTTTTACAACTATTTTTTATCAAACCTAATAAATATTATATTTTCAAGATAATAACAATAACAATAGCAACAACAACAATAGTAATAATAATGAAAACTTACACAATATCCAAATCAAAGCAAATAAAAGTCTCATCAAATGATTCAAATACAACACACAAATAAAAGAGATAAAACCAACAAGAAAGAATAAGTGATCTACTTCTTGAGTAAAAAATTCACTGATTACAAGTTCAAGTATTCACCATTAAAGAAGATGTGTTGTGCATTGGCCTGGACAGCTCGAAGGCTTATACAATACATGCTTTACCACACTATTTTGCTCTTAGCGAAGTTGGATCCTATTAAGTATATCTTCGAGAAACCTTCATTGATAGGGAGAATAGTGTGGTAGCAAGTTATGCTTTCATAATATGATATTGTTTATATGACTCAAAAGGCTATTAAACAAAGTATAATAGCCGAGTTTCTTGCCGATCATGCAACCGAAAATTATGAGCCAATGAAACTAGATTTTTCTGACGAAGATAATGGCCATTAAAGAAAATGAACCTATTGGAAAATCTTGGAGGTTGTATTTTGATGGAGTTGTTAATGCTTTAAGCCATGGTATTGAGGTAATTTTAATATCTCCCGATAAACATTATTATCCCATCACAATATAGCTGAATACGAGGCTTGTGTTATGGGTCTACAATCAGCGATTGAAAAGAAGATCAAAGTGTTGGATGTGTTTGAAGATTCAGTTATAGTTATCTATCAGTTATAAGGAGAATGAGAAACAAGAGATTTTAAGTTGATCCGATACCATAAATACATCTCTGAGTTGGTCAAACTATTCGAAGAAGTTCAGTTTGAGCATTTACCTAGAGAAAAAAACTAAATTGCTTATGCACTGGCTACTCTAACTGCAATGATTAAAATAGATGTAACTACTGAAATCCAACCCATCAAGCTGGATATGAAAGATGAACCAACACATTATTTAAGTGTTGAAGAAAAAGTTAATGGGAAGCCATGGTATCATGACATTATGCAATACATCAAAAGCTAGCAATACCCAGAACAAGTAACAAAAAATGATAAAAAGACTATCAGAAAGTTGGCTATGAGTTTCTTTCTGGATGAAAATATCCTCTATAAAAAGGGTCGAGATTAAATGCTCTTAAGATGTATGAATGCAGCTGAAGCAAAGAGAATTATTGAAGAAGTGCATGATAAAGTTTGTGGGGCACATGTAAATGGTTATATAATGGCTAAATAAATTATGAGAGCCAGTTACATTGGTTGACAATAGAGAGTGACTGTATTAATTATACTAGAAGATACCATAAGTGTCAGATCTATGCTGATAAGATCCACACTCTTCTAATAGCATTACACATTTTGGCTCCTCCGTGGCCATTCTCAATATGGGGCATGGATGTCATCGATCCCATCACTCTAAAAGCTTCAAATGGGCATAGATTCATATTTGTGATGATTGATTACTTCACAAAGTGGGTAAAAGCTGCATCATATGCTAGTGTGACCCAATCTATGGTATACAAGTTTAAAAAAAAAAGATAATATGCAGATATGAGCTTTCAAAAATGATTATTTCTGATAATGCCAAAAACTTGAATAGCAAAATGATGAATGGAGTGTGCACTCAATTCAAGATCCATCATCGTAATTCGATACCATATCGTCCAAAGATGATAGCACAGTG